TTAAATGTAATTAGAAGGGAGATTACAGAGAAAGATGGAGTTAAGAGTAGAGAGGAGAAAAAAAAGCAACCTGTTCAGTTATATGGATCATATGATCACGAGAAGTGCATGATGGTGAGACGTAAATAGTTGTGAGATAATTAAATACAGAATAAATAACTTGTTCTTCTATATTTATAGGATGTGTAGAAAAAAGAGGTACAGGTGCAACATTTTTCACTCCTGCGTGACAAATTGTCACATTTAAAAACTGCATTTTTGTGTACACCTTCATACACATACACTCCTTTTCACCTCAGTGACAACCCTAGTTACGTGAATGCATTTAGGTAGGCACTCTAGCACTTTAGACCTGGCTTTTTACTAGAGCATTCAATCTTTGTTAATTTTTAATTTCTGTATGTATGTATTTTATCTTTTACAATTTACCTGTAAATCGCCTAGAGCATTCTCGGATGGAGGGCGATTAATAAGTAATTAAATATGATGATGATATAATGATGATGATATAGTGGTCTGAGTACTGGGTTAATCTGGAGACTAAGGTTCAAGTCCCCAATCGGTCATGGAAACCCACTGAGTGACCTTGGGCAAGTCACACCCTTTCAGCCTCAGACAGGCCCGTAGCCGGGGGGGGGGGGGGGGTTGAGGTGTTTCACCCCCCCCCCCTTGATTTGGAAGCATACTATAGACTCATACTGGAAGACCTAGAGCAGTGTTTCTCAACCTGGGGGTCGGGACCCCTGGGGGGGGTCACAAGAGGGTGTCTGAGGGGTCCCCGAAGACCATCAGAAAACACAGTATTTCCTCTTAGTCATCTGGGTTATGTGTGGAAAGTTAGGTCCAATTCTATTGTTGGTGGGGTTCAGAATGCTCTTTGATTGTAGGTGAACTATAAATCCCAGCAACTACAACTCCCAAATGTCAAGGTCTATTTTCCCCAAACTCCACTAGTGTTCACATTTGGGCATATTGAGTATTTGTGCCAAATTTGGTCCTGATCCATCATTGTTTGAGTCCACAGATGTAGATGAACTACAACTCCCAAACTCAAGATCCATGCCCACCAAACCCTGCTAGTGTTTTCTGATGGTCATGGGAGTCCTGTGTGCCAAGATTGGTTCAGTTCCATCATTGGTGGAGATCAGAATGCTCTTTGATTGTAGGTGAACTATAAATCCCAGCAACTACAACTCTCAAATGACAAAATAAATCCTCCCCACCCCTCCATTTAAATGCAGGCATATTGGGTATTTGTGCCAAATTTGGTTCAGTGAATGAAAATACATCCTGCATATCAGATATTTACATTACGATTCATAACAGTAGCAAAATTACAGTTGTGAAGTAGCAACAAAAATAATGTTATGGTTGGGGGTCACCACAACATGAGGAACTGTATCAAGGGGAAGGTTGAGAACCACTGATTTAAACTGTTATGTTTATTCATATCATGATCTGATCACCATGCTCAATATATCCCATATGCATGGGGGTATTGGGATAATTTATTTTATTATTTATTTATTTAAAACATTTATATTTATTTATTTATTTATTTATTTATTTAATTTCGCACATTTCTACCCCGCCCTTCTCACCCCAAAGGGGACTCAGAGCGGAGCACAGCATGTACTCGGCAAACATTCAATGCCTGGATACAATACATAAACATTTAAAAACATTTATCGAAATATTAAAATACACCATTAAAAATAACACAATTTAAAAACCGTCCTAGCCAACCGCAACAAATCCAATTGGCCCTGTCATCTTTCCTATTACCGCTTCATTGCCCTGTCCCAAAAGCTTGGTCCCACAGCCAAGTTTTTACCATCCTTCTAAAGGACAGGAGGGAGGGGGCCAACCTGATCTCACAAGGAAGGGAGTTCCATAGCCGGGGAGCAATCACCAAGAAGGCCCTGTCTCTCATCCCCACCAATCGCGCCTGTGACAATGGCGGGATGGAAAGCAGGGCCTCCCTGGAGGATCTTAATCTCCATGATGGTTCATAGGGGGAGATGCGTTGATACAAAAGGTTTGCTAGGGTAGATCCTGAGCCCCCCCACATCAAATCAAACTCAGCCCCCCCCCCCCCCAAATCAAACTCAGCTCCCCCTGAATCAAAATCCTGGTTACAGGCCTGTCCTCAGAGGAATGCAAAGGCAAATCCCCCTCTGAACAAATCCTACTAGGAGAAGTCTCTAATGAGATTCCCTTTGGGTCACCATTAAGTCAAGAATGATTTGAAGGCACAAACAAATACAGCAATTTTGCAAAGTGGGTTCAGGGGGGTTAGGATATCCCTCCAGGACTCAGCCCCCTTGATGTCTGGACTAGAACCTGAGGCTCCTTCCACACAGCTGAATAAAATCCCACATTATCTGCTTTGAACTGGAATATATGACAGTGTGGACTCATATCAAAGAAGATACTGTAGGATTTCTGCCTTGATATTCTGGGTTATATGGTTATGTGGAAGGGCCCTGAGAACCCTGATTTTCACCCTTCTCCTTACGCAGTAGACCTGACCTGAATCTAGACAGAGTTCCTCTGCTTTTCTTGATGAAACAAGTAAAGATAAGTGTCACTGCCTATATCCAGAGTGCGTTTTTTGTCCTGAAGAACAACCAGAATGTGCTGCCTGTATAAGAAGGATGGGAAAGAGAGTCTTCTGTTAATGGAGATGGTCTGGAGGTCCAGCACATGTAGTTTTAGAAGCCATTAGACCTGAATCCTGCAGCCAGGAAATCAGGAGACGCTTACTTCTTGGGAGGAGAGCAATGTCCAATCTCGATAAAATAGTGAAGAGTAGAGACATCACACTGGCAACGAAGATCCGCATAGTCAAAGCAATGGTATTCCCCGTAGTCACCTACGGATGTGAGAGCTGGACCATAGGGAAGGCTGAGCGAAGGAAGATAGATGCTTTTGAACTGTGGTGTTGGAGGGAAGTGCTGAGAGTGCCTTGGACCGCAAGAAGATCCAACCAGTCCATACTTCAGGAAATAAAGCCCGGCTGCTCATTGGAGGGAAGGATAGTAGAGGCCAAGATGAAGTACTTTGGTCACATCATGAGAAGAAAGGAAAGGTTAAAGAAGACAATGATGCTAGGGAAAATGGAAGGAAAAAGGAAGAGGGACCGACCAAGGGCAAGATGGATGGATGGGATCCTTGAAGTGACTGGATTGACCTTGAAGGAGCTGGGGGTGGTGACAGCCGATATTTATTTATTTAGAAGTTTTATATACCGGTCTTCTCCACCTCCGGAGAGGGACTCAGGCCAGTTCACAACATATATTCAAACAATAGCAATACAAAAACAATACAACAGATCATCATTAAACATTAAAACCTAAAATACAATAAAAATACCTCATCACATTACACAAGCCAAGTCATCAAATACAGTTACGATTCATCACCATCCTTCCGTGTGCACAGAGTTATTGACTCACTCGTCAAATGCCATATTCCAAAGCCAGGTTTTTAGTAGCTTTCTAAACAACAGGAGGGAAGGGGCAGATCTAATCTCTAGTGGAAGGGAGTTCCAGAGCTGGGGAGCCACCACCGAGAAGGTCCTGTCCCTCGTCCCCACCAGACGCGATTGGGAGGGTGGTGGGACCAAGAGCAGGGCCCCTCCTGAAGATCTTAATAACCTTGATGGTTCATAGGGGAGAATCCGTTCGGACAGGTAAATTGGGCCAGAGTCGTGGGCTGGTCCATGAGGTCAAAAAGAGTTTTAAGAAGAATTGGAAACGACTGAACGAATGAACAACAACAAAGACCTCAAAAGGAATGCCACTCTCCAAACAAAGGTAACCTACATTCACAGCAACCCAGACTCTCTGACTTGATATATATTGTAATTTGGAAATAACCCTGTGAGGAGTCCGCCCACCCGCATATTACTCAGACCATCATATATCTGGGTAAGATAGACAAGACTTCTTTCTCCCACCTTGGACATCCAACAGATATATAAACCCCACTTGTCTAGTTTCCAAAAGACCTCACAACCTCTGGGTGAAACACCATAGAATCATAGAATCAAAGAGTTGGAAGAGACCTCATGGGCCATCCAGTCCAACCCCTTGCCAAGAAGCAGGAATATTGCATTCAAAGCACCCCTGACAGATGGCCATCCAGCCTCTGTTTAAAAGCTTCCAAAGAAGGAGCCTCCACCACACTCCGGGGCAGAGAGTTCCACTGCTGAACGGCTCTCACAGTCAGGAAGTTCTTCCTCGTGTTCAGATGGAATCTCCTTTCTTGTAGTTTGAAGCCATTGTTCCGCGTCCTAGTCTCCAGGGAAGCAGAAAACAAGCTTGCTCCCTCCTCCCTGTGGCTTCCTCTCACATATTTATACATGGCTACCATATCTCCTCTCATCCTTCTCTTCTTCAGGAGAGAATGCTTCTGGAACATGGCCATACAGCCCGGAAAACTCACAGGAACCCATCTGGATAAGAGTTTGGACAACTCTTGGACCATCCTCGTTGCTCCAATGGAAAGAACACAACATTGCCCCCAAGGAACCAGCTTCCAAGATGAAAGCAAAGCACAACAGGGAGAGAACTTGGGGTTTGAAAGGAGCGAAAAAAATCCTACAAGCTGTCTGGTCTCTGACACGTGCTGAGTCCCTGAAAGATCTAGGCAGAGATGCTGTGTAGTCTAGAGGAATTGCACACAGAGAGAAACACACACACCCACATTCTCGGATGGTTGGATGGATGGATGGATGGATGGATGGATGGAGAATGCCCCCCTTGTTCTGGTCTCCTCGGCTAGCTCAGGCGGACCCATCCAGCTGCATCCCTCTCTGGAGATCCCATTGTAACACAGAAATTCAAGCCCCCTTGGCTTCCGTACCCGCCTTTCCCCACATCTCAGATCCCCAAGCAGCCCTTATCACTAAAGACAGAGGGATAGGGCTGGGGGTGAGATGGAGAGCATGAGCTGGTCTCTTGGTTGTGGGGCAGGATGGATTGCTGGACACTTACCAGTGTGCTGGAGGAAGAGGAGGAAGAGGAAGAAGAGGAGGAGGAGGAGGGAGCAGGAGGGGAGAAAGAGCTGCTTCGGGAGCTTCATGGCTGAGGAAGCTGAGCTGGAGAGGGAAAGAGAGAGGGAGGGATGGATGGAGGGAGGGAAGGAGGGGGGAAAGGAGAGAGATTAGCAAGCGAGCGGAGGGGAGGGGGGCTCTGGATTGGTTTAGCGTTGGTAACTTGGTATCTAAGGAAAAGGAAGAAGCAGAGGCGGCCGAGAAAGCAGGGGCAGAGGAATCTCTATTTCCTTTCTTTCAGTTTTTCAATCTCTCCCAGTCCTGTCCTCCCCCATCCCCACTCTCCATCAGCGCCAATAACTCAGAAAGAACAGAGGCCCCCCGCGGCCCTGCACCACGGCATCTGCTGAGTGGTCCAGCCATTCCTGCATCCCGTTTCCAAGCGCCTGGTTGGCAGGCAAACAGGCAGAGAAGCAGAGAGGCTGGTGGGCGCCGGGTGAGGGGGCTTCCTCGGTGGCTAGTTCATTCCCACTCGCCTGAGGGGGGGTCAAGTACAGAACAGGACTGTTTCACATCTCCTCTATGCTTCTCCTCCTCCTAGTAGGAAACTGTCACTCTGTATGTGTGAGCAGTCACCTCAACAGGCAGGTTGGCTGCTCTTCGACACTGGAAGAGTGCCACAAGGACCCTATACAAAAATATAGTCTATTGCAGTGGTTCTCAACCTTCCTAATGCCGTGACCCCTTAATGGTGACCCCCCCCAATCATAAAATTATTTTAGTTCCTACTTCATAACTGTAATTTTGCTACTGTTATGAATTGTAAATCTCCAATATGCAGGATGTATTCTCATTCACTGGACCAAATTTGGCACAAATACCCCATACACCAAAATTTAAATACTGCTGAGGTTGGGGGGGGGGCGGGGGTTGATTTTGTCATTTGGGAGTTGTAGTTGCTTGGATTTGTAGTTCAATCAAAGAGCATTCTGAACTCTACCAACAATGGAATTAAACCAAACTTGGCACACAGAACTTCCATGACCAACAGAAAATACTGGAAGGGTTTGCTGGGCATCGTCCTTGGAGTTTTGGAGTTGTAGTTCACCTATATCCAGAGAGCACTGTGGACTCAAACTTGGCACAAATACTCAATATGCCCAAATGTGAACACTGGTGGAGTTAGGGGAAAAGAGACATTGACATTTGGGAGTTGTAGTTGCTTGGATTTATAGTTCAATCAAAGAGCATTCTGAACTCTACCAACAATGGAATTAAACCAAACTTGGCACACAGAACTTCCATGACCAACAGAAAATACTGGAAGGGTTTGCTGGGCATCGTCCTTGGAGTTTTGGAGTTGTAGTTCACCTATATCCAGAGAGCACTGTGGACTCAAACTTGGAACAAATACTCAATATGCCCAAATATGAACACTGGTGGAGTTAGGGGAAAAGAGACATTGACATTTGGGAGTTGTATTTTTTGGGATTTATAGTTCACCTAAAATCAAAGAGCATTCTGAACCCCACCAATGATAGAATCGGGCCAAACTTCCCACACAAAATCCCCATGACCAACAGAAAATACTGCGTTTTATGATGGTCTTTAGCGACCCCTCTGTCACCTTCTCACGACCCCTCCCAGGGGTCCTGACCCCCAGGTTGAGAAACACTGGTCTATTGGCAACCTGTTCATTTTGTGAGGGGCCCATGTAAAGAGTGGGGGTTTTTTTTTGTCGTCTCAAGAGTGACTTGAGAAACTGCAGAATGACTACAAGCTCCTCATCTTTAGCATCTCAAGAGGAAATTGGAACAGAGTGGGTGGGTGAGTGGATGGGCAGTCACCTCTAAAGAAAGATATCAGTTCCAACCGTGCAAAAGTGTTGGGATATACAAAAATAGGATTGGAAAATTTATTTATTTATTTATTTACTAAAAAAATTATCCCGCCTTTCAATTTGGGATCTGCCTACCTTTGTGACCGCACCTCCTTCCATAAACCCACATGATCTCTTTGATCCTCGGGGGAGGCCCTCCTTTCACCCCTTCCTTTATCACAGACACGACTTATGGGAAAAAGGGAGAGGGCCTTCTCCACTGTGGCCTCCCGGCTGTGGAACTCATTACCTGGTGAGGTTAGACAAGCCCCTACCCTAGCAGCTTTCAAAGAGGACCTAAAAACTTGGCTCTTCCAATGTGCCTTTGGAGAGTGACCATCTATTTCTTTCCTGTTGTTTCTCCCACAATGTTGTCCTTATATTGCATCCCCCCCCCCCCACCTTTCTTAAGACCTGACTCTACTGTTCCGTCCCCTATGAGCTCCTCCCTTACAAATACATCTTTTTCATTGTTATCTCTTCCAGAGTTTTATCATTTTATGTCGTACATAAAATGGGATCCCACTGGAGCATTGCAACACACCCAAATACCTGGGAGTCACTTTGGACCGTGCTCTGACCTACAAGAAGCACTGCCTGAACATCAAACAAAAAGTGGGCGCTAGAAACAACATCATATGAAAGCTGACTGGCACAACCTGGGGATCACAACCAGACACAGTGAAGACATCTGCCCTTGCGCTATGCTACTCTGCTGCTGAGCATGCATGCCCAGTGTGGAACACATCTCACCACACTAAACCAGTAGATGTGGCTCTTAATGAGACATGTCGCATTATCACAGGGTGTCTGCGCCCCACACCACTGGAGAAATTACACTGCTTAGCTGGTATCGCACCACCTGACATCCGCCGGGAAGTAGCAGGCAATAGTGAAAGGACCAAGACAGTGACATCTCCAGCTCATCCCCTGTTTGGGTATCAGCCAGCATGTCAACGACTTAAATCAAGACATAGTTTTCTTAGATCTACAGAGACACTAGCTGGAACACCCCAGCAAGCGAGAGTCCAAAAGTGGCAGGCCCAAACCCAGCACCTCAATCCATGGGTGATACCAGATGAGAGACTCCCCCCTGGGCACACAGAAAACTGGGCAACTTGGAAGACGCTGAACAGACTGCGTTCTGGCATCACAAGATGCAGAGCCAATCTTAAGAAATGGGGCTACAGGGTGGAATCCTTGGCATGCGAGTGCAGAGAAGAGCAAACGACTGACCACCTGCTGCAATGCAACCTGAGCCCTGCTTCATGCACAATGGAGGACCTTCTTGCGGCAACACCAGAGGCACTCCAAGTGGCCAGATACTGGTCAAAGGACATTTAACCAACTACCAAGTTTGCAAAATCTGTGTGTTTTTCTTTTCTTTTCTTTTTCTTTTTAATCTGTGTGTTGGTTTTGTTCTGTTAGAATTGTAACACAATGGTATGGTTGCTGATGACACGATAAATAAATAAATGTCGTACATTTGACCCGCCCACTGTGTTTGATTTTTCACTTTGTATTTTGCACTGTTTATTGTATTCTTGCATTTTATTTATTGCATTGCAATGTTATTTTTGCCATTCTGTAATTATGCTGTACATGTATTACCAGGCTTGGCTTCATGTAAGCTGTCCCGAGTCTCCTCTTTGGAGATGGTGGCGGGGTATAAATAAAGATGATGATGATGATGATTATTATTATTATTATTGTTATTGTTATTGTTATTATTTCTCTGCCCTGAAGGGGACTCAAGGTGGCTTTACATATGGCAACTATTCAATGCCTTTGGACAAAAAAGTTAATTTTATTTAAAAAATGCACATTAAAAGATATAAAAATTTCATTCATTATTAAAATCACGCCATCCTCCATCATAATACGGGGCCGTTCCGAAGAAGAAGAAGAAGAAAAAGAAGAAGAAGAACTTTATTTTTCTACCCTGCCTCCATCTCATCAAGGAGTCTCGGAGCGGCTTACATTGGGCCCAACCCAAGCAACATACAGATTAAAGACAAAAACAACAGCAAATTACAATTTAAAATAGCACAAACAGCATAACAGTAATAGTAATAAGTATCAAGCAACAGCAAACCAATTTTGGAGGGAGGAGGGGAAGGCCAACATACATATTGATTAAAGGGTAAATAGTTCAATAAGGTCACATAAATGTCACAGGAGATATCATGAAACAGCAATTAAACAGGATCGGGACGAGGCTATCATTGCACTACAGATTAATCTCTGGATGTAGGTGAACTACAACTCCCAAACTCAAGGTCAATGCCCACCAAACCCTTCTAGTGTTTTCTGTTGGTCATGGGAGTCCTGTATGCCATGTTTGGTTCAATGGCATTATTGGTGGAGTTCAGAATGCTCTTTGATTGTAGGTGAACTATAAATCCCAGCAACTACAACTCCCAAATGACAAAATCAATTTTTTTTGAGTGAAGGACATACATTGGGTTGTTAGGTGTATGCTGTCCAAATTTGGTGTCAATTGGCCCACTGGTTTTTGAGTTCTGTTAATTCCCACAAACGAACATTACATTTTTATTTATATAGATATGTTTATTTATAATGGTTTTGTATTGTATTTTTATTTTTATATATTTTTTCTTTTATTTTATTGCTGTATTGATTTACTGATTATGTATTGTCAGACTTGGCTTCATGTAATCTGCCCGAGTCCCTTTAGGGAGATGGTGGCAGGGTATAAATAAAGATTATTATTATTATTATTATTATTATTATTATTACTTTGATTATGCTTTTCCTGGAGCCCCCGGTGGCGCAGTGGGTTAAAGCACTGAGCTGCTGAGCTTGTTGATCGAAAGGTCGCAGGTTCGATTCCGGGGAGCGGCGTGAGCTTCCGCTGTCAGCCCTAGCTTCTGCCAACCTAGCAGTTCGAAAACATGCAAATGTGAGTAGATCAATAGGTACCGCTCCAGGGGGTAACGTCGCTCCATGCAGTCATGCCGGCCACATGACCTTGGAGGTGTCTACGGACAACGCTGGCTCTTCGGCTTAGAAATGGAGATGAGCACCACACCCCAGAGTCAGACATGACTGGACTTAATGTCAGGGGGACTACCTTTACCTATACTTCTCATTCCTTCGATAGAGTTACAAGCTGGGTAGATGCGGGGAATGCCATGGATGTAGCGTACCTGGATTTCAGTAAGGCCTTCGACAAGGTCCCCCATGACCTTCTGGCAAGGAAACTAGTCCAATGTGGGCTAGGCAAAACTACGGGTGAGGTGGATCTGTAATTGGTTAAGTGGACGAACACAGAGAGTGCTTGACGGCGAGCGCAGCTGGTAGCCCCGCCTTTACATTAGTTTGAACTGCAGCAGGGAGTTCCGCAGTTCCTGAGCCAAGCTTTTGAGGCCAGCAGATGAAATGCGCCCCAGCCGCTAGCTCCAAGACCAGGAATGCCTGCAACTTCAGCTAACTTCCCCTCTCCCTTTTACTTTGTATCTTTCCCTAATAAAGTGCTTAAAAATTTGAAACTTTCTATCTCCCTGCAAGTTACTTTTGTATCCCTTCTTAGCTCAAAACTCCAAA